TCTATTCCAAATAGGGAGAGGGGACATGATGCAGTTTCTCGGCGAACAAGTGTGAACTCGAACATTCCAGCTTTTCACGCATGTCAAGTGACTGCTCACCCCCCCCCCCCCACCCACTCTCGTAGACTGGCTACACTCCCCTGGCTCGGAGTTACCGCCTCTCCAATAAAACTACGTCATGATGCTCCCTAACTGAAATAGACCCGCTCTTCATTTGAATACTTTGTTTACTTGATTTTATTTTTATTTATCAAACGCCTCTCCGTACCTTGAGCTCACCTTTCTGGTTTGGAAGCTCCAGTCGGGCCTCCACCTCGTTCTGTCATTCTATGAATAGTTGTTCGTAATGGCGAAAAAATGTTCCGCTATAGTATTAACGAGCTCTTAGGTGTACACCATCGAAGCGCCCCATCTCGACGCCTCTGCTGAACGGGCGCTGTGTGAGTTTCCACCACAAATAAGCTTTGGAGTTTCAGCTGTTCTTTTTGACACCTGTGGGCGTTTCAGGATGCATTTAGCGCTTCTGGTTGCGGTGCTCGCCGTGGCGAGTATCTTGACCAATGGTCAACAACACACGGAAGATCGTTGTAAGGATCGCTCGTGTTATCCGATCACGGGAAATCTTCTGATCGGACGAAAACATCGCCTCAAATCCTCGTCCACCTGTGGGACGAGGGGCAGAGAACGGTGAGAGCCGCTTTTGATCAATTCCGAACCGTTTGAACATCCATTATTCACTCATTATTTGCTCTGAGAACTCCATAAACCTCATTGAATCGACTGCATAGCCAATTTCAAACGAGTTCCAAATGATGCAAAAAAAGGAAAGGGAGGACACCAGGGACACAGAGGAACTCCTGAGTGTCTCTGTGGCAGCCGAGCTATTTCGTTTCTTAGTGAGGGATTCATTTTAATATGCACTTTCCAAGTTGGCAAAATCAAAAATGAAGAGAAGACGCTGTGACAAAGGCGGTGGCGGTTAATTGGTATCTGAATGAAAATCTGGGTGCATAATATTCCTAAATTATGCAGCGACTGGCCCGGAAAGTCATTGTATCGCTTCAAGCGTCATTTCGAGTAGAAATAAATGCGCGGCGTATCCCAAAG